TACTCAGGGTGTCCATTCCGAGAGAGCGCCTCTCTCGGACTCCGCACCCGCCACACTGCGAACATTCTGCCAGAAGGAAACAGCCATTTTCCCAGCCTTCCTCAGCCCAGGGCATTCAATGCTGCAATGTCAGCACCTTGCTCACACACAGAGGAGCTTACAATCTGGGGACTGACTGACCTTGATGGAGGCAGCAAGCACCTTTGGCCGGGAGGAATTAAGTTACGAACGTAGGCACCAACCCATGGTCTAGCGTCCATGTGGAACAACACAGAGGAAACACTGGCATCCAGAAAGGGGTGTGTGTGCGTGTCTGTTTGTGAGTATCTGCCTGTGTGCGCACGCGGGTGCGTGTGTTTGACGAAGAAAACAAGTGCAATGCACTACCAAGGCCCACAGTCACATTGCAATCTTTGTGGTCTTCTCAGCAGCTTGTTCAAGCTGATGGGCAGAACATCTTTGATTGATAAAGTCACACGCTGCTTGTCACCAGCTGAATGACCTGGAGCATTTTTTAAACGTTTTTCTCATTGACATGGAGCATCGTGAGTCAGGGAACATAATCAGCCCTTGGTCCCTTTCCGTCCCACAGAGGGGGCCATGGCTAATTATCAACGTCAAGTTTTGGATTAAAATCCCTTTGTTTCTCAAAAGCTGCTCCACATCATGTCTCAAGGTGCTGCGAGACAAAACAAGGTGTCAGCATATCGCATGTACAGTAGCGAGCGTGTGCAAGGCACTATGCCCATAACTCATCATTCCAGTGCTCAATAGTGCTTGGTGCAATGATACTTCGCCTGAGTCTAGCCAGTAATATACATCAGCAGCATGTGACTAAAACCCTCACAAACTCCTTCAGCTTCTCCAATTCAGATGAATAAACTGGGGCGACCGTCCCCACCCCCCACCCTGAGCTCAGGGTTGGCAACAGGGCTGACGCTGTCCACAAGTGAGGCCCAAAGACACAGCCAGTGCACTCCAACTCAATCAGTCAATCGTTCCAGGGTCAGAGAAACTGCACAGATTCTTGCCTGCATCCTGAGCCACGCACCAGCACTTGGAAGAGAAAAGGCAAAAAGTAAGCCTGACAGGATGAGAACACCCTCAGGGATTTCACAAGTCAGAAAAATCTCTCCGTTCGGCAGCACAGTGGCTCAGTGGTTAGCACTGCTGCCTCACAGCACCAGGGAAACAGGTTCGATTCCACTCTCGGGTGACTGTGTGGAGTTTGCACGTTCTCTCCGTGTCTGTGTGGGTTTCCTCTCACAGTCCAAAGGTGTGCCGGTTAGGGTGGATTGGCTGTACTAAATTGCCCGTGGTGTCCAGGGATGTGCAGGCTAGGTGGGTTAGCCATGGGAAATGCAGGGTTACTGGGATAGGGGAGGGCTGGTGTGGGGATTCTGTGCAAGAGGCAGCTGTGTGTGTTTGTGTGTGTGTTTGTGTGTGTGAGAGAGTCATTGTGCTGGCCGTCAGCTCCCAGCATTGTGACGGAGGAGATTCGGGGGTTCTGGCTGGATGGTGGGGCTCAGCCCAGAACAGAGAAGCAGCTCAGAGCCCCGATGTGAACGATGGTGACAGCAGCCATCCTGTCTGGAAGCGAGTCAAGCCCTACAGCTGGAAACATGCCACGTAGTAGGAAAGGAGCAGACTTCTGCACACTCTGGCTGCTTTTAGGACAACAGAACACTCACTAAAATGAGATTAAAAGGCTCAAACATCACACCATTCGGGTGAGAGATAATGCAACAAGATAGGCCACAGATTCAACAGGGTGACAGCTTCCGACAGAACATGTCAGGAAGTCAACAGTGCCATCTGGTCACTGACTGCCACCCTGTTTGGGTCAAACATGGACAAAAGAGCTGAATTCCAGAGTGAGGTGAGAGTGACACCCCTTATCATCAAGGCTGTATTCGACCGAGTGTGGCATCGAGGAGCCCGAGCAAAACTGGAATCAATGGGTAAACTGGTTGGAGTAATACCTGACACATAGGAAGATGGTTGTGGTTGTTGGAGGTTAATCATCTCAGCTCCAGGACATCTCTGCAGGAGTTCCTCAGGGTAGTGTCCTCAGCCCAACCATCTTCAGCTGCTTCATCAATGACCTTCCCTCCATCATAAGGTCAGAAGTGGGGATAGTCGCCGATGATTGCACAATGTTCAGCACCATTTACAATTCCTCAGATACTGAAGCAGTCCATGT